AAAAGTGACGAACCAATGTCTACCACCAAGTGATGCAGTCTTGGTGGGACCCCAAACGTCTGTGTGCACGTAGTCCAGGATGCCCCTCGTCTGATGAATGGCAGTCCCGAACTTCACCTTCGTCTTCTTACTAAGAACACAGTGCTCACAGAACTCAATCTTCCCACTCTTGGCTCCCTTCAATAGCCCCTGCTTGCACAATGCCTGCAGTGACTTTTCACCTGTGTGCCCCAATCTATAGTGCCAAAGTCTGCTCATGTCCGCTTCTGAAATAGCCGAAGCAACCTGGCCAATCTCGGTGCTTCCCTTCAGATAATACAAATTCCGATTGCGGACTCCCCTCATCACCACCAATGATCCCTTAGTAACCTTCGCTACAGCGTTTTCGAAAGTCACCTTGAATCCCTTCGCCTCCAAAGCTCCAACTGAGATAAGATTTTTCTTCAGTTGAGGAACAAATCTCACCTCCTTCAACTCACGGACTACTCCATCGTGCATCCTAATCCGTACGGTACCTATTCCACAAACGCCACATGATTGATCATTTCCCATGACAACAACGCCCCCGTCGACTTTCTCAAAAGATGAAAACCAGTCTCGCCTAGGGGTCACATGAAAAGTAGCGCCGGAATCAAGCATCCAATCTGATGCATCCACATGGTTCACCTCCGGAGTAATCAGTAGAGAAAAGCACGAATCATCGGAATCATCGCCTTTCGCAATGTTCACCTCATTGGCCTTCGGGCCCTTTTTCTTGCCATTCTCTTTCTCCTTGAGCTTCGGGCAGTCTCTCTTCCAATGTCCCTGCTCCTTGCAGAATGCACATTGGTTCTTTGTTAATTGGTGGCGGCCTCTAGACTTTGACCTCCCTCTGTTACCACCTTTCGGATATGGGCTTCTACCTCTTGTCGACAAGGCCTCTCCTGAAGTACTAGCGCGGGAAGTCTCCTTATCCTTCCTCCTCAAATCGTAGTTCGTCAAAGCGTTAAGTCACTTCACTATAGCTGATAGAAGATCTCCCGTTCAACAAAGTGAGCACGAAGGTATCATACTCCTCATCCGGTAAGGAGCCCAACAAAATAATCGCCTTGTACTCATCCGATATCTTCTCATCAACATTCGCCAAGTCCGACAACAACTTCGTATAGTTGTTCACATGAGCCGCTAGCGAGGTGCCTCTGGACATCTGAAATCTGAAGAGTCTTCGCAGCAAGTGCAACCTATTCTCAACACTCTTTGTGAGATACTTATTGTTCAGAATTTCCCACATCTTCATTGCAGACGTCACTCCAATCACATCATATTTCAGCTCCTGTTTCAAACAGGACCTGATCACCCCACAAGCGTTCCTATTCATCTTCTCCCATACCGCCTCTTCATATTTAGGTGGTCTTTCGTAGACCATAATGGTCTCTTCCAAATTCTGAGCATTGAGCGCATCCTGTACGTCGCTCATCCACAAACCAAAGTTGATTTTGCCGTCATATTTCACCACACTAATTTTGGTGTTCTGAAAACCAACTTGTATTGTACTCGCCATCGATTTGCTGCTTTCACCTTCTTCTCCCATTGCGAACTAACTCCAAATTGTAGAGAAAGAACAAATTTGATAGAATTAGGAACCACCCAACTGAACCCTAGCTCGGATTCCAAATAGATATCCTATCCACACGAGGAAAGCGAAATCTCCAACAGCAACTCCTAATGCTATCTCCACCGAAGCCTAGAACTCTAAGAACCAAGCTTCACACAAGAATCTTCCTCCACAAAAAAAAACCTTAGATCTGAAATCTGGGCTCTGATACAACTTGTTGCGCGCAGCGGAAATTTCGGCAGCACTTCGGCAGCACAACAAGAGAGTCAGGTTGCAATAAGAATTCTTGTTTCTCAAAGGGAACAAGAATCTGAAGCCTAATATCTCATCAAAGTGGGATATTAGCTCTTCCTCTCGTCAGCTCTAGGACTGCGCGTCGAGGGAACCTAAAAAACTATTATAAATCACACAAAAGCGATACAACCAATTTTTACGTGGTTCGGCAAATTTCCTACGTCCACGGGGCAAGGAGGGGGGAGATCTACTAATAGAGGGAGAGAATACAACTAGGGTTTACAATCACTCACAAACTAAACCCTCAAACAAACTCTCAAATCCCTCATAATATCTCTCTACAAAAGACTGCACAAAACCCTAGAAGGAACTGCTCAAAATCCCCTAGCCGCTGCCTGCGCTTTTCTTCTGTAGCCACAAAATCAATGCTCGCTTCCTCAATGTGCAGCCACCAAAATTATTCCTTGCACAGAACCCTAGTTGATTTTTCCGTGTGCATTTATAAGCACAAGCACGAGTTATTTGGTCTCAGGTGGGCCTTCATGGGCCGGCTCGTGTTCGTGTCCTCATGCGGAGATGAAACCGCGTCTTCACGCGGAAGTCACGTGGAGAGGCCGCCCCACGTTCACAAGTTAAAAAACATGAGTAAGAGTGTTGGAGACCGTGATGACTCGTCAAGTTCATGAAATTTAAAGGTATGTATTTTGGTTAAAAAAACTACAAATTCTATTACTATTTTCCCCATGACCAGAGACTTATTTTTTTCTTTTTTGTAATCAGCATGCTCGGAAACTAACCGTAAAAACCAACATATGAAGAATTATTTTCATATACAGATGAAGGTCGAGAGCATGATGAGATGTGTGATATAATGGAAGAAGCAGAAATAATGCTAAGAACCAATGCTTTGAAAGTTAGAGACCGAAACGGGTGGTGGAAGTGTCTCTATTGCAACGATATCCCCTACACAAATTGGAACATGAATGATCTCTTAACTCACACGCATGATGTTGGTAACAATGGGTCTGTGCCCAACATGGGTAAAGAGGGGATTGGCCAGCATCGTGGACTAGAAGTTTATTTACTTTGGTTAGATCGAAATCAATGATCTAAAGAAACCAGATACCAATTTTGCAATTTTATGTCGTAGTTTGATATTTTCATATACTTTTGCAATTTTATGTCGTAGTTTGATATTTTCATATAGTAAGTTGGCTCAACAATTGGTCTTTTATCAAAATTGATTGCTTCAACTAAAACGTACAAGTTCATGTAGATTGCATTCTAATAACATAGTAAAGAACCCCTTATCTTATCATGAACATTGTAAATTAGTTTGTAATCTTATTTAGTTAACCATCATTGCTGACAAAAACTCAAACTGAACTCCAAATGGAAGCAAAACAGCACCAACAGCTCAAATCAGAGCTAATTTGACGAATATATAGCTAAATAAGCTCGAAATCAGCATAATAATAACAAAAACAGCACAAACAGCTCAAACTGACCTCAAATTCAAACAAAAAACCTCACAATATAGAGCTAAACAAGCTCGAAATCAGCCATGAACATGTATAAACAACAACAACAGTTCAAATCGGAGCAAATTTGACGAACATAGAGCTAAACAAGCTCGAAAGCAGCGAAACAATAACAAAAACAGTACCAATAATCACAAAAACAACATTCCATTAACAAAATCACCACCAATAGCCATGAATACTTTTAGGGCTCATGATAGAAATAGATTTGTCATAAAAGATTGCCTCGCCTATAACATTATGATGCAATGTAGGCTGCTCTTTTGAGTGTTTGCCTTACCCCAAACATTGTAGGTTGCATTCCACACAAAATTGCCTCACCTAACACAAAGTATATAGGCTATATTATCAGTTCATTATCATCATCATTGCCCATCTAAATCAACATGAATGAAAAGAACCATACCAAAATTGAGTACCAAAAAAGTCCATCCGTCGTTAGGTTCAAACCAAGCATTGCAACATCTAGAGCATAAATAGCCAACAACAACATTTACCAACATGAATATAACCAACAACATCAATTACCACTATGAATTGCAACATCTAGAGTTTGCAATTAACAAAATATAAGGGCAAAATAACCAAATTGATATATTTTGTAGACTCAGTGACATACTAGTATATTTTTTTTTTCACTTTTGACAAACTGGTATATTTTGTAGACTCCGGCGTTATATACCCCTTAAGTTTGGCCGGATTGATTTTTCTGGCCAGTTTTCTCACGTGACGGCTCACGTGATGCTGAGCTGGCGGAGATTTTTTGTAAAAAACCCCCTCATCAAATGACCCATCATGCTCCTAAACCCCCTCCTCCTCCTCCTCCTCCTCCTCTCCCTCCTCATCCTCTTCAGCCTCTCCCCATCACCCACGCCCGCCAGCTCTGCAAGACCCTCAACCACCACTCCTCCTCTTCCTCCCCCTCTCCCTCCTCCTCCTCATCCTCTTCAACCTCTAGCTATTGGTCAACCTCGCAAGTTTGGTCAACTGGGTTTTATTCCAAATCCCTTCCTCCCTCTGTGTTTACGCTATAAAAGGCATTGAAACCATGATGGTTGTGATCTTTGAGATCAATTAAATCCATTAGGAGGTGTCTTTCAGATGATGACAATGTCAGAGATGGAGGTCATGTCCCCTTCATCCTGCTTTTTTTTAGATCTCCCACAATCATATTTAGCATAAGACATACATAAAAGTTCCATAGCAAATTGTTTGTGCCATTACAAATTCCAGAAAAAGACATCCAACCAAAGGCACAACTTACACAACTTATTTTCACAGAGTAGCATAATCACTAGTTCATTGCAGATAGGTGGTCACAGCATCACATTCATTAGTAGTAGGGAACAATCTTCCACCTTTGAATAGGAGTTCCATCCTGAACTCCTTCTTGAAAAACTTGTAAAGGTGAATAGGAGTTCCATCCTAAACTCTGCATGATCCTCATCGCCATGGAAAGCATCAAAGTTCAGGCGAATATTGTTCACCATCCTAATGCAACGGAACATGATCCTCATCGCCATGGAAAGCATCAAAGTTCAGGCGAATATTGTTCACCATCCTAATGCAACGGAAGCCATCGCCCAAGTCCTTGCTCTCGCTCTAAGTTCAGGCGAATATTGTTCACCATCCTAATGCAACGGAAGCCATCGCCCAAGTCCTTGCTCTCGCTCTAATGGATTATATGGAACCCAGCGAACAGGCTGGTGTGCTCCCAAGGAGTGCTTCAGAGCTTGCCCAGTGACTTTGTTGACGAGAGCAAAACTCGGAAAGCCCTCTTCATCCTTCACAGTGTTACTATACCTCATGTCTTTGTACCAATGCTGATACTCATCTCTAGCATTAGCCGGCACCAGAACAACATCCCCATTCCTAACCGTGAGTGAGTAATCCTCTGTGAACGCATGAAAGAAGCGGAGAGCAAAGCAAACGAGAAGGGGGGCCACCACGTGAATGAGCTGGAGACAAAGTGTACTTTAGCAGGCCCACCCGATTACTGTTGCGGTCCTATAAATAATAACGTGATTCCTAGGGTTTCGGTGGGCGTGCAAGGCTAAGTGCAGTAGGGGGGAGAACTTGGGAATTGCGGCTGTGTTTTTTTTTCTCTTGGTTACAGCTTTGGCTGTGAGCAAGCAAAAGGGAGAATTAATTGGCAGCTGCAGTAGTGCAAATTTGAGGAGGTGCAAAAGTGTTGGCAACGTTCTTTTTGGACGGCGTGCAAAGAGTCCTTTTGTGCTTTTGAGAGAGATAATTATGTGAGGGTTTAGATTGAGTGATTGTAAACCCTAGTTGTATTATCTCTCCCTCTACTAGTAGATCCCCCCTCCTTGCCCCGTGGATGTAGGCAGTTTGCCGAACCACGTAAAATTGATTGTTTGAGTTTGTGGCCATTGTAATAGTTTTTAGGATCACTCGACGCGCAGTCCTAGAGCTGACGAGAGGAAGAGCTAATAACCCACTTTGATGGGATATTAGGCTTCAGATTCTTGTTCCCTTTGAGAAACAAGAATTCTTATCGATCTTTCTCTCTTATTGTGCACCAGAAACTCTGCCGAAATTTCCGCTGCGCACAACAAGTGGTATCAGAGCCCAGATTCCAGATCTAGGGTTTGGTTGGAGGAGTAGATCAATTTGGAGGCTCGTTTAGGGCTTCGTTGGTGATAAAGGTGGGATCTTTTTTGGTAAAGACTCTATCTTTTTAGTTTTGGATCTATTCTTCGTTCGTTGGTGCGTAAGATGTCGGGGAAAGAAGGTGCTTCGGGTGTCGAGGGTGGTGCTTCTGGCGCGAAGACCATTCAGAGTTTGAATATCCACTCTATGAAGATAGATGTGGAGAAATTTAATGGCACAAACAACTTTGGATTATGGAGATGCGAGGTTTTGGATGCGCTGAACGCGCAGAATTTGGAGGATACCTTGGAGTTAGATGGCAAGCCAGATGAGATTGAAGAGAAGGTTTGGAAGAAGATGAATCCAACGGCGTGTGGTGTGATTAGGTCTTGTTTGACTCAAGATCTAAAATATGATGTGATGAATGAGACTTCTGCAAAGAAGATTTGGGAGATTCTCGAAAGCAAGTATCTGACAAAGAGTGTTGAAAATCGCTTGCATTTGAAGAGGAGACTTTATCGTTTTCAGTTGAAGAAGGGAACCTCCATTAGAGATCACATGAACCACTACACAAAGCTTCTTGCGGATTTGGCGAATGTTGATGTCAAGATTGAAGATGAGGAAAAGGCGTTGCTGTTGTTGAGTTCCTTGCCCGACGAGGAATATGAGACCTTCGTCCTTACTCTGATTAATGGGAAGGCATCTCTTTCGTATAGTGAGGTCACTGCTACATTGGTGAATTATCAGCTTCGGAAGAAGGATAAGGAGAATTCGACTGAGTCGGTAGCAGAGGCGTTGGCCGCAAGAGGGAAGAGTCCAAACCGGAAGAATTGGAAGTCACAGTCTAGAGTAGAAAAAGATCAGTGTGCTTGGTGCAAGGAGACTGGTCATTGGAAGAAAGACTGCCCAAAGCTCGACGAATGGATGAAGAATAAGCAGAAGGGAAAAGGGAAGCAGTCATCATCAGAAGCAAACATCGTATCGGATGGTAATAATTCTGACTCTTCTATTTATTCGCTTTCTATCAGTCCTACAGATAGCTATTCGGAGGAATCTGAATGGATGTTGGATAGTGATGCGACCTATCATTTGTGCCCTAGAAGGGAATGGTTCTCTAGTTTTGAGAAGCTGGTGGATAGTGGTGTGGTGTACATGGCTGATAACCGTGCATGCCAGATCCTTGGGATAGGAAGAATTCGCATAAAATTGTTTGACGGGACTGTTAGGGAGCTAAATGATGTAAGATATGTTCCTTCTTTGAGGAAGAACTTGATCTCGATTGGAGCTTTGGTTGGAGAGGGTCTGAAGGTTCGTGTTGAGGACATGGTTCTCGAGATTGCGAGAGACTCTCGTATTTTGATGAAGGGCGTCAGGAGAAATAACATGTATTACTTGACTGGAGGTATAGTGACAGGTGAAGAGCTGACGACTTCTGTTGATTCGACTAGACTGCGGCATTTGGGGCTTGGCCATTCCAGTATTGATTCCTCGCATAGATTGAAAGAGGGTGTAAAGACCTGCAATTTAAAGTCCAGTAAACATGTTGATGTGATCAAGAAGACCAAGGTGAAGTTTGGCACCTCTATTCACCGTGCTAATGGTCGTTCTAGAGGAGTTCACGTGGATGTTTGGGGGCCTTCCAAGGGAGCATCATTGGGAGGTAATAGAAGTTTGGTTTCCTTTGTTGGTGGCTGTTCTAGGCATGTTTGGGTTGCAACCAAATCCCCTTTGGAGAAAGTCCTAGTAGTATCCAACAGATTGAAGAAGTGTGTAATAGACAGAAAGGTGAAGGTACTCCATTCTGGTGGGAGGTATAAGATGGACCTGTTTCTGTATTGGAGCCGAGCTCACGACATTTCGAGACACTTCGTTAGAAAGGAAATCTTGGGGCAGCTAGATATGGTGACAAATTTGGAGAACCGTACCTTGCTGGAGGAGGATCGGTGTTTGTTGTCAAGCAATGGTCTGCAGAAGAGTTTCTGGACAGAGGCTTCGACATATTTGGGTCATCCTATTAAAGAGTTGTCAACTGCTATGATTGGAGGTAAAACTCCATTGGAAGATAGGTCTGGTAGTGTCACTTTGGTTGAGGCTTCGATGAGGGAGCTAATTGACTCTCAGCAGGTAGAGAGTTTTGGACAGACCTTAGAGGTATCGCAGCGGGTGGAGAGTGATACTACTCCACATTGGGTGAAGATTACTCCAGACAAGAGGATACGTAGGCAGTCTTTCAGATGCAGCCGGGTTTGGATTTTGATGGGGGTGAGATCGATTTGGTGAGTTGATACTAACATTTGGAGAGTGTTTGCATTCTCATTTGGGTTCTCGACTTGTTATGGATTGAGTCTGTTGTCGTGAATTGTTTCACGATGTACTGGACATAACAAGTGAGATATTTGGTTTGGTCGGTATCGGCTCAGTTTTGGTAAAACTTCGCCGAGGTGGAGAATTGTGAACGCGTGAAAGAAGCGGAGAGCAAAGCAAATGAGAAGGGGGGCCACCACGTGAATGAGCTGGAGACAAAGTGTACTTTAGCAGGCCCACCCGATTACTGTTGCGGTCCTATAAATAATAACGTGATTCCTAGGGTTTCGGTGGGCGTGCAAGGCTAAGTGCAGCAGGGGGAGAACTTGGGAATTGCGGCTGTGTTTTTTTTCTCTTGGTTACAGCTTTGGCTGTGAGCAAGCAAAAGGGAGAATTAATTGGCAGCTGCAGTAGTGCAAATTTGAGGAGGTGCAAAAGTGTTGGCAGCGTTCTTTTTGGACGGCGTGCAAAGAGTCCTTTTGTGCTTTTGAGAGAGATAATTGTGTGAGGGTTTAGATTGAGTGATTGTAAACCCTAGTTGTATTATCTCTCCCTCTAATAGTAGATCTCCCCCTCCTTGCCCTGTGGACGTAGGCAGTTTGCCGAACCACGTAAAATTGGTTGTTTGAGCTTGTGGCCTTGTAATAGTTTTTAGGATCCCTCGACGCGCAGTCCTAGAGCTGACGAGAGGAAGAGCTAATAACCCACTTTGATGGGATATTAGGCTTCAGATTCTTGTTCCCTTTGAGAAACAAGAATTCTTATCGATCTTTCTCTCTTATTGTGCACCAGAAACTCTACCGAAATTTCCGCTGCGCACAACATCCTCCACTACTTTAATGTATACCCTTACCGTGGGGTTCCTTGTTAGTGGCATATTACCGGCTAATTCATTCCCATAGGGAGCAATCTTCCACCTTTGGTTTTTTCCCTTGAACCATTCGTAGAGGTGCATGAGTGTTCCATCATGTAATCCACCATGGTCCTCGTCCCCATGGAAAGCATCAAAGTTCAAGCGAATGTTGTTCACCATTCTTATACAACGGAAGCCATCACCTAAATCTTTGCTCTCACTCCAAAGGATGGTCTCATCGAGGTAGTCAGGATTGTAAGGAACCAACCGAACAGGGTTATGTGCTCCAACAGAGTGCTTGATGGCTTGGCCAGTGGCTTTGTTAACCAAAGCAAAGCTAGGAAACCCCTCTTCATCCTTCACAGTTGTGCTGGTCCTCAATTCCTTGATCCAGTGTTGGTACTCATCTCTCGGATTAGCAAGGGCCATCACGACCTCCCCGTTCCTGATGGTGAGGGAGTAATCCTTAGCAGCCTTGGTGTAAATCCTCACTGGGTGATGTTGAGGAGGAGCAACAGGAGCATCTTGGTTGTGGTGGTGGTAGTGGTGGTGGCCGCCAAAGAAACTCATTTTGATCTCAACAACAAAATTCAAGATTGGAGCTTGTTTTTTGATGCTTAGCTTCGTCCTGCTTGATGAACTCGAACTGGATTCTTGGCGAGGAGAGGAGTGGGAAATGGACTCAACGAGAGAACAAGATATTTGAGGTCCTGTCCCCAGTTTCAATTCGTCATCGTTCACCGT